GAGACTGAAGCCTATGTGAGATAAGCACCAGAACCCTAGCAAAGATACAAAATAAAAATAATAATAATAATCAAATAAAAGCATTATTTGTTTCAAAACAGCTTGCATCTGTGTTCTTATTGACTCACCATGACACTGCTGTGCGCCACAGGGATGTCTTCAAATGTCTTCACACTCAGAGGCCGGCCGCACCTTTCATTCTGCAGCGACAGTCTGTTCACAGAGAATAGGCCAGTTAATCTCCTCTGGTGGTTTAAGGTTTAGAAATGTCTGCTGGTGTAAACGGGTAAGAGAGTCATGCAGACCCAAGAGACTGTGGGCTATCGTAGTGACTCTCCACGGCTTCACCGCTTTGAGGCCTGGCATAAGGGCTCATGGGCCCAGTGGGCACCAGGCATCCCTCTGCTTCACCCGCTGTCAGGGGGATGTAATCTTTCCCATCCTGGAGAGGGATAAGACTTTAATGACTCTATCCTAAATACACAATGGACCACATAACAACCTGTGCTGTAATAAAAAGGTCTATTTTGTATTGCTTCATTCTTTGCTAATGACTTCCTATATTTCCCTGAAGGTCTTGGCAACATTTCTTCCATTTTTTTCAGCTCTGCTTTGTCTTGAGGATTAAAACTGCATACATCTGTCTTAAAGGGTGGTGAAAATACAGCAAAGACAACACAGTTTACACCAAAATCGCATCAAATAGATTGATTGTTTATTATAATGAAGACCTTCATTATCACTCTTTGGCACAGCGTATTGAGAGGGCTTAAATGTTGACCGGAGCAAACCTGTTGGGCACTGGTCTGGAGCAGATTTCCCAGATGTTCGACCAGTTCTGCAAACGTGGGCCTGTCGGTAGGACGATCAAGCCAGCAGTCCAACATGGTCTGGTACCTGTAAGCATGTCATTTTTTATATGAGTAAGAGCAGGTATTGCATTTAGGTACTCTAAATTAATTATGTAATATTTTCACTATCATTTATTGTAATGGAGAGGTGGGACTGGGGAAACTGGAAATTTGGGACAATTTCCTAATACGATTACCTCTGAATTTCCCACCACTCTGGATCTATATAGTTGTTTTCAGTTTCTATTTCAATTTTTTTCTCTATTGCTTTCTAATTGGGTGCGAAGACCTTTATGTGTGCAGCATACAAATCAGTAAGAAACAGCCCCAAAAGGATTCTGAAGTTTATCTCATTGCATTGTGTGAACGATTACATTACACTTTCCTACTTACATCTCAGTGGTGGCATATTCTGGAGGTCTCATCCTTGTTCCTTCCTTGAGTCTCCTGCAGAAGGATTCGTCGATGCAAACGCCCGGATAAGGAGAGGCCCCTGCAAGAGATATGAGCAGAGCACATGATGCTTCGGGTATACGGTGGCACTCATGCCTGCAGTCAAGTGTGATAATTCTTAGGTTTACCCAGTGAAAAGATCTCCCAAAGAAGGACGCCAAAGGACCAAACATCACTTTGCGTGGTATAAACCCGGTCAAATATGGTCTCAGGAGCCATCCACTTCAAAGGGAGCCGTGCCTGTAGTAATAGTGGAACATTTTAATTTTCATCCATCACTGAAATCAATTTTTTTATAAATAACTGCCTTCACATCTATTTAGGGGACTCACATCTCCCTTGCGGACATAGTCAGGGTCTTTGTAGACATCTCTGGCAAGGCCAAAGTCACAAATCTTTACGACGTTGTTCTCAGAGAGCAGGATGTTTCTGGCTGCTAGGTCTCTGTGGATGCACTGAGGCGCAAAAAAGACGAATTGAGACTTGAGGAAACAGAGTGAAAGTTCAATTTCCAATGTGCAGAATCACAGACACTTGATATTTCACCTTGCGAGAAGCCAGAAACTCCATTCCTTTGGCAACCTGGAAACTATAGCTTATCAGGTCTTCCATGGTAAGATGGTCGTCAACGGAGCTTTCTGGGATGAGCGTTGGAGAAATGTTCAGTCAGATAGGAGCTGCAGGATAGCTTGCTATCACAATCAAATATCTCCAAAGAATATAGAAGTTGTCCAAGCACCTTGATGCATGTCTGCGTGGCTGCCTGAAGCCTTGTCTTCAGCTGTCCCAGTGCAGATGTCCAACTGTGCAATCTTCCCCAAACCCAGATCCCCTTCATTGACGTCCTCTTCTGCAGACGTCCAGCGTTGGCTGTCCACACGTTTTCTCTGTTGATAGCAGTGTAAAAAGATCCACTCAAACCCAAATTAGGCCAATAAAATACGTTTCAATGCTAATCCCAATCAGTTTACAGGCTGAGTGTTATGTGTATTGGCTTTTATGTGGTCCGAGTCCTGTGTAATGATTTGAAGTCAGCGCAGCGTTTAACTACATTTTAAAAGGCTGCCCACTGACCAACCGGCTGCAGGAGGCCTTTGGGTTATGCACAATTTACCTTGTAAGGGCTGTACTCTCCACGCTTGCTCTTCAAGTAGCTAGAAAGGTTCCCGTGTTTACAGTATTCAACAATCACCATCAGAGGCCCTGCAGGCAGAAAATGGGGAAAAGAGGTCATCAAGTGAGATGGAGAGGCCGAAAAATGCATTCGAAAATTGCATTAGAAAAATGTTTTGTAAAAGAAACAGAAATATACAGTGACTGAGATATCATTAAAAACCTTCTCCTGTGATGACTCACCCCCAGGTTTGGTGCAGGCTCCCAACAGGTTGACCACGTTCAGGTGATGTCCAATGTGGATGAGAATTTTCAGCTCTGACATCAAGGCACGGTACTCACTAGAAGTGGCGCCCTCTGCAAGACAGTAAGCCAGGTGTGAGGGCGTTTCCCGCTCCTCGTCGTGCGTTCTTTTCCCGCGCTCCAAAAAGGAGAACAAAATACCTACCCTTCAGCATCTTGACTGCAACAGTGGTGCATGTGGTGATTTTCTCAATGCCAAAGGCAGCCGCCTCGACCACCTGGCCAAACGCCCCTCGGCCCAGAGGTTCACCTTTAACGCAAAGCATTGTTCATTGTGAGGCCTGAAAACATACCGTATATAGCTCTAAAGTTCTTATCCGATTTATCACCACTGGCCTTCATCACTCAGAATTTTGACTATATTTCAAATGTCAAACATCTAAAACACTGTTGACATTTTAGGTTGGATTAAAGATGAATGTTTATTAGAGATCGATACAACATTTTTTTAAACCAGATAAATCAGCGCCATTCTAATGTATGGGCAGTAGAAGATGTTTCAGGTGTCAAAAGACTTTTATTGGGGTTTCAGAGGAGATTACTGGATAAATGGCCTTTCCCAAAAAACATCTGCAGAAAAGTGTTTCCTAGTGATAAAGGAGAAGACTAAAAACTGGATGGCAATGCTCTGTTCCATTAGTGTTTTTAGTTCGAAAAGTAATTGAGAAACGGACATTTAAAGTATTGGGAGGAGATCAATTTCCAGTTTGGCTACAAAAGACTGTCAGTGAAATTAAACCTAATATGACCAAGACGCTACCACAATGTCTTTTTAAACATCACCTCCAGGGAAAAGTTATCAGAAGAAAAAGGTTTGCTGTTAAAAAGGGTAGGTTTATAGAGAATGGGTTGGGTTTGATTTGGTAATATAATCCATTTGGAAATTAGATGGTCTTTTAGTAAAATAAATTATTCTGGGAGTGAACCAAACTTTTTCATGCCATAATGTAATAATCAGGGTGCATTCCTTGAATCTGTTAAACAGTCAAACCTCTCAGAGGGTACAGTGCTGAACACCAATCCAAAGTGGATGACTGGTCGTCTGTTTTGTCTCACCGAGCTTCAGCCTTTCCCGAGGGAACTCCCACTTGTTGGCGTCGTACGTGAGCCTCTCGCACTGCTCGTCCATGGGCATGTCCTCGGAGTCCAGGATCATGGACAGATAGCCCGTTTTCAGATCTCCTCCGTTTGGCTGAAACAGCAATGGGTGACGAGCATCAAAGACGAGCACAAAAAAATGGGGGCGGGGGGGAATTAATGAGCTGCTGTTTGTCTGCGGGCACAATAGATTTCCTGTGACTGTGTTAGCCCTGAAAGAAAAGAGGCCCAATTTGTGTAGCGGGCCTACGTGACTTACAGGAGCTGAGAGTGGACTTGCTGTTCCTGGATACAAAGGAGAGCGGCCACTAAGAGCCACACCAGTCACCTCCAATTAATCACACACTCCCACAGTGTGTGCGCTGGCGGATACATGCGTGTCCAACCAATTTTTTTTATCATTATTTTTATTGTTGGGAAAATCCAAGGAAGGAAGAAGTGTGGTAAAAAAAAAAAAAAGAATAAGAATGAAGGGAATGAGGAAATTCTTACTCTCTTTCTTCCACGGATAACAAAGACGATCAGCAGCCAGAAAAACATGGCTATGACTACTGATCCAATAGGAACGATCAGCTCCACATTAGTCTTCTCATCGGCACCTAGAATACACGCGCACACAAAACAAAACGTACATATCAAACCATCACACATCCATTACAACAAATATTCTGCTACCGACTTTGGGGAAAGTGTCCTGAGAATGCCGTTTGGATTTTCAGAGATGAGCTTTTTCAGGGCTGCGTGGAACTGAATCAGGCCTGTCATTGTTTTTGACCTGTACGCATGAGTGTGTGCGAATTGGGTCCCGAGGAAGGAGACTGAAAGGAATCTGGACTGTAAGCAAAGCGATATTCTATCTAGTCATAACAAATGGGCAGGAGACGAATAGCAAGAGCCAAAAACAACTTGGAAACAACTTGCGTGACTTTATGCTCTAGTTCTCCTTACTACCATTCAGTGAAGGGGCTTTGTTCAGGTTTAGAGGGAAAAACAGGGTCACTACTAAAGATGATTGGCTGGAAAGGTTAGCTGGCAAGATATTTGAGAACTTTCCCTTATGCCCTATTCTGGAATAATTATTTTGTGTACTGCAAAAAAATTTAACTGCACCGCGTGTAACTGACCGAAAATCCACCGGAAATCAGAGTTACCGAGTCATTTTATGGCTATAACATGTGTTCCTGTATTTAGATGTTATTTTCTCACATTTGTGGTGAGCGTAGTCTTTTATAAAAAAATATATATTTTAAGATTCTGAGCCAGATGAGGATTAAATAAAGAATAATCAAGTGTCTATCTTCATTCCCCAAATAAAGCATGATAATGGCATCAAATGGATTTACAAAAATGATAGGGAATAGGCTTTTTGCCTTATAATTCCTCTCCCCTTTCCATGTGAGCTCCTGTAACTTGGACCACAGTCTGGGTCACGTAGACCTAGCTTTTTGCGACAGCACGTTTGTTTATTTTCAATAAACTTCTATGTTTTGGACAGAAATGAGCATGACAGGGGAGCAGAGGCCTTTCGCTGGGCGGGGCTGGCCTCTCCCTTTGTCCTGCAGTCTTCTCATTGTTTTAGATTTAGAAACTCACAGGAGGATGTGCGTGAACAAGGACGGCTTCCTGTCATGCGGAAGCAGAGTTATTCTTATCATGGGTCTTGGATATAAATATGTTGTGTGCCGATTGAGCTTTTATGCCAGATATATAAAAATTACATTGAAAATCTGGGTGAAATATATCTCCTATTAACTATGGCAGCCTTTTTTTTTAGTTTACAATTCTTTACAACCATGGATGCGTCACAGAACAAGCCAACAGGGCACAGGCCCAGCTGCCACATGGGCCATGGAGCCTCTAACCAAAACCTTTGTACACAGACACACAACAATGGCAGCAGAGAGACACTGCGACAACATACAGATAAACAAAAACAATGACACAAAATATGCACACAGACCGACATAACGTCTGTTGGGTCTGTCATTTTGAATTTCTTTCGTAACTTATCATTAAACCAAAAGAGGCTCACCAACAAAAGGAGTAACATACAAATAAAACGTGTATCTTTATCTTTAAAAATAAATATACATGTCCGGAGTTTTGAATATCCACCTGACTGAGGCTATTTTACATTATTTTTGCTATGAAGAAAAAGTAACACTTAACATCGATTTGCACTTTATTTTTGGGCTATTAAATGTTGTTTTGGGCTCTTGCATCAAAGGACTGTCTCTGGGGGGTTTTTGTCACATATGGAAATGTCACCAAATAGGCCTATGTGAAAGATTTGTGAGAATTGTGTCAATTAATGAATCTATGACAAAGTTTAATTCAGGTTTTCAAAAGACTGACCTTCCACCGTCAAATAGGCCTGCGAGGTGTCGCAGCCACGACTGTTACACGCAGCGCAGGTGTACAGGCCGCTGTCCTCCTTCTTCACACGCTGGATTGTCAGGTTCTGCTGGTTCAGAAACACGCCTGCAAGCAAGAAATCCACAGCTTTAGTTTCAGAGAACTCTTCTCAAACCTGAAGCGAGGCAGTCTTTCAGTTTTAGGCCGCGGCTCGGTCCCACCTGAACCCTCCACCACGGTATGGTTGTTTTTGGTCCAGACCACCACCGGGTTGGGCGTGCCCACGGCGTCACAGTGGAGGGTGATGGTCGCACTCATGTTGACCTTCTGGTCCGTGAAGTTATTACGGATCCTCGCACCCTCGAGATCTTAAGACAGAATCAGAGCGAGAAACACCCAAAAGTCCAGATCAATCAATGCAGCCAGAGACAGTTCAATGGCCTTTTTTCAAGGCTTAAACTCATCTTACACGTACAGAACAGCAGAACAATGCTAACCTCTGAGCGACAAGCGGCGCAGCAGGCAGGTTTTCTCTTTGGTCTTGTTGTTCTGCACCTGGCAGGCGTACAGGCCCTCGTCCTGGCGGGAGGCGTTTGGCAGCGTCAGCTCCAGGGTGACATTCGTCCCTTCCTGAACGATGAGCACGGCCTGCGGCAGCGGCCGCGGCTGCAGGGTCAGGGAGCGGCAGGGCAGCAGCGTGGCGGCCGCCACCTGCACCGACTCCGACACGTTGGCCACGAGGAACCAGGCCAGGTGGTCGTAGATCAGTTTGTCGGCCGTGCAGCGCAGAACCACCGAGTCCTCCTCCAGGGGTCTGTCAGACGGAGACATGCTCACCTCAAGGCTGCCTAGACACGTTAGATATGGGAGGAAAGAATAGGAATGGTCAGATTGGAGGCGGAAACGGAGCTCGGGGTCACAGATTGAAAAACATTGGGACAAGAGGCTCACGTGTCACACGGAAAAAGATGACTCGGGAGTCCTCTCCTGCTTTGTTGCGTGCCGTGCATCTGTAGAGAGCGTGGGCTTTGGCTTTCTGAATCTTCAAAGCGCTTGAAATTTTCTAAACAGATTAATTTAATCGGTTAGATTTAACAGCAAGACCATATTTACTCAGACTTAACTACAGATTATTGATGGAAAGTTCGGTTTTAATCAAGGAAGTATCAGTATACCCGTTGGTCAAGATCAACCTCAGATGTTATTTGCTCCTCTTGGTTGGGACCAGTGCTGTTGCTGATGTCCCTCCAGCCTGTGCACTTCTCAAGCTGCAGCTCAAGCTTGACTTGTCCTGACCTGGTGAATGACATGAAGAGCAGCCGAGTCAGGCCAAAACGTGCCACCAATATTGTTCTTTAAATGTCACACTAGATCCAACACTAAGCATGACACAAATGCAGGATCTTGTATTTTGGATTTAAAACAACATACTTTTTTTCATTTATTTTTTTATTAGAAAATACTGGGACTTTACTCTTTTTTCTGAATAAATAAGTGGAGGTAAATAAAATTAGTGTTTTTAAATAGCAACAGCATTGGTTTAGTTTCCTCCACTCTAAACTCAGGTAAACCCATTCAAACAAACTTTTAGATTATTTTTAGTAGCAGAATATTTACCCTCAGGGCTCTAAGGTCTGCATCTAACTTATAAAACTGTTTTATATAGTGTCAACAACATGAATGGATGGGATTTCACTGCATCCTTCGGGCTGTACTGGGCTACAAAACTATTAGTTACTTTCAGACGTGCCAGTATTGAGGCATACTATTTTAATGTCTCTCCTGTGTGCATCTGTAGCAACTACATTTCATCACAGTGGGATCAAAAAAGTTTGTATTTGAGTTCATACATCTAAGTAAGAGTCTTTTAAGATGATGGGTAGCCTGTGAGATAGTCCGTTTTAACAGGGGAAAAAAAACATTTAAACGAGTAGAAAAGTCTCTTTTTGGACAGGACTTTGTTTGAAAGAGAGAACCGTGAACAACAGGAAACGGGGATAAGGACTGAGGAAGCATTTAGACATGTAGGGAGAAGATAAGAAACCTGCTGCAGGTCTTTGCTGGTTACCGAAAGACTCCCCCTTCTATCAACACCTGTCTGATCATTAAAGGGTGTTGTTTCAATTGCCAGAATAGATAAACTGCGTATCGCATGGACAGGCGAAGACTGCACAACAACGTTGTGATTGTGCAGGCCCGTTCCCAGTCCGAACAATCTATATCCTTCTGAGATGAACATTGTCAGGAGAATGAAATCACATCCGCTGATCTGCATCAGGGTCAGAGTGCACTCTCATTGTCTCGTCTATTGTTTTTCTCAACATCACGACAGCAGCTATTCCTCTCCTGGATCAACAACCTGTTGACAAGGACTGACTGAAAGACATGTGACTAGTGTTGAATACACAGAAGGAACTCTCCTCCCCTACGTTTTCTTTCCACACACACACACACACACACAGAAACACACTGCTGGAGAACGGTGACCTACAGGAAAGCATCGGGGCAGTCCTCCTTGGACATCCACTGCCACTGGATGTGGGTGGGCGTGGGAAATCCTTGAGCGGTGCACCTGAGGGTGGGGCTCCTGCCATACGGGTACACATCGGTGTCCACGCCCGTTTCTTTTTCGATAATCCGCGGGCGCACTGCGGAAGAAGAAGCGGCACGGTTACCAAAGACCCCTGACCATGTTTATTAGCTCCAGATGGGCTGAATGCCTACCATTCACCAACAGCTGGAACGTGCGCCTCTCCTCCTCTTCGGTGATCTTATTGCTCAGGATCACTGTGTAGTTCCCCTCGTCCATCTCTTTGACTCCATGGATGGTGAGAGCATCTCTCTCTTGTTTTATTCGATAGTCCTTTTTGAGAGCTTGGCCATTTTTTAACCTGGGCGACAGGGGAAGAATAAAGCTGTCTCAGTTTTTTTGTTTTTTTTAATGTTATTAAAGCACTGGTACATAGGTGTTTATCATTTTAATACAGAATTGGGTAAAGTATTTGAAAGAATTAGCTAAATTCTCCAGGACAGTTTAGCAGTGACAAAACCCCCAAATCGTTTATATCTTTAGGCATTTTTCTCACAAAGTTACATGTCATTTTCCATCAACTTCAGTTTTATGATGTTTAAATGTTCAAATTAAAATGTCAGCCATCACACATAAGCAATGATTTTTCACAAAAATATACAATCTCAGCAAACTGTCCATTGTGTCCCTAAAAAAATCAGTGTCTGGACCACTCTAGGACAAAGAGCGTTTAAGGGCTTCAAAAATATCTACAACAGATGGGTCAAAATGCGACATTGTAAAGAAATACACAGGATCTGCATGGAGACACAAGTGATGCGTCTGGATATTCTGTTGATCCATCTTCTGTTGAACAAAGCCTCCTAAAAACGGTCCCCATGGAAGGGTGATTCAACAAGGCATTCTTAGGGAAAGGATATGGAGAAGTGCTGAGCCGTGCCAAGTAAAACAAAACGTGGACCGAAAATCAATGGCAAGTGAGTGATACGTCTTATGTAGAGATGACTGTGCCCCAGAGCCTGGGCTTCAACATTCATGAAGCAACATCGCTATGACAGACAATGGAAAAGGCAGCCCGCATGCAAAAAAAGTTTGTGGAATGTCATTTAAGAAGCCTGGAGCAGGATTTTCAATGACCGCCTTAAAAAAATATGAAATGGAAAATGAAAAATCATGATTTTTCAACTGTACAAATAGTTTTGGGGTTATATGCTGAATTTCTACTAATGTTTGTATTCTTTTTTTATTTTCTGGCATATGCCATGCTGTACACCTACCATTTAAAGCTGGGCTCAGGGTAGGCTGTGTACTTTACAGGGATCACAGTGGGTGTCTGATCTCCTACGTTTGCCTCCAAAACCTTCATCAAGGGCTCTTGCATCTCGATGAAGGGCTTTTCTGAAAAAAACACATTCAACAAAATTCACTTCCCATTTCATCACTGACTCGTTTGTTTGCTTTTGTTCTTTGTTCAGCCTCGATATAAAGAATATGTTTTAGGGAGGTAGTCTCAAAGAACAAATATAAATAAACCTGATCACAGTATACAAATTGATTTCATGTGTTCCATTAGTCAAACTGGAATGAAATTACATCTATATTTGAACTTGTTTAAATGCTTCTTTTCAAAAGGGCCAAAGGTTTATGGGTCAAACATTAAAAAGTAACTATTTTGGTTTATTTATTTTCTTATATCAGGTCAGGGACAAAGTTGAAAATAGAGGAGAAGAAAAAAATAAAAATATATCCAGAAATTCTAATTTGATTGGAGCGACATGCTACTGGGATGTTCGTTTGAGCACATTATGAATATTCTCATCCGTTTCATATCTACAAGAATGAGCAAAAAACTATGCACTTCCTTTGAAGGTGACAAATTTTGTCTTCTTAGTTTACTTAGAGTTCACTTTTATGCAAGTGTTTTTCTGAGAAGAACAATCAGAATTTCACCAAAGGTCTCAGTTATGTGTTTAGACCCAGAGAGCCAGTTCTGAGTTTTAAGTGCACCGACCATAAACTTTCAGACTCGCTGTGGCACTTTTCTCCATCTTCCCGCTGGAAGCCGTGCAGGTGAACTCTCCGTTGTGATCCATTGTCACGCTGTCCACGATGACAGTGTTGGACAGCTCCAGGGACTTCCACAGCTTCTTCTTGTGGGACACCGTATGAGACTGCCTCCAACCGCTGTCCGAACTCTGTCAAAGCCGGATAAAAAAGGACACAAAGGTTGCCTTTTGAAATGAACGAATAACAGAGGATGCGTTAGAAAAGACCCTATTTTTTTGCAGTTCATCAAATTTCGGTGATATATTTTGTATGTAAGCAACCAGAACATCAAACGTTCATCTGGCCTTCTGGCCTGGACTTTGACCTGGCGGGTACAGGGCAAAAGCTGGAGGATTCCTGAAAGCAGGAAGTCATGAGCATTTGCAAGACCAGGAGGAAGTGAGTGACAGCACTTCTGGTATCTCTTTCTGTCCTCTGAAGTGAGTCGGACACGAGTTCGTAGGGGCAGTTAAAAGGAATTGAGCACTGACCAGTGCCCGATCGGAGTGCGTCCAGTTGAACTCGATGGCCACGTTGAGCTCGGTGCACGCGGTGCAGCTGAGCACCAGGCGCTCGCCCACAGACAGCGTCTGTTGCGAGAGGGTCAGCGTGAGGTTATAGATCTTGTATCCTGCGGAAAAGGGAGAGAGGGCCTGGCAGTCAGTGGACGGCCCATTGTTCGGCTGAGACTACACACGCTCAGTGCAGACCCGGTCACATGGAACCTCACCCCCCCCCCCTCTCTGGAAAAATCCACATTTTCTTCTGGTCTAACCAAAACACTCACATGGACAACAACTCCTACAGCTTAACATGATGCCGGAAGTGTTATCTTTCCTCTTACCCACAACGGCCACTATGTAGAGAGGGGACTTGAACGTCTCATCCCCAATGCGAGTCTGGCAGGACACAACGCCAGCGTAGCTGATCAGATGAGTGGGTACGGTGAATCCAGTCCGGGCATCCCACACAGAATCCTTCCCATCAGGATGGAGCTCCCTGATTGGATACTTCTGACAGACAAAAATGTAGTCATTTTGATCCAAAAAAACAACAGACAGAAAAAGCAGCGACGCACTTCGCCAGCCCGCAGGCTTATCGGACTTTCGCAAAACCAGATAGCATCAGGAAAGAGTTCTATGAGGTAAAGGAGGTTTGTAAGCTGATTCGCTGGTGCCAGACATTTCCTGAGAAGGTTTTTTTTTTTCTTTTACCATTTTAGCTTGAAACTACGTTAAACAAAAAAGGCATTTTGTCACTGTGCCAAAGACTGAGGGCACTGAACAATAGCCCCTCACTCCAGACAATGGTCTTGGAGACTAATGATGTCAAACAGAAAGCCTGCGTAACAAACTGTGGTATGAAAAAACAGGAGTCACTATTCAGACTAACTTTGAGACACGTAGAGTAGTCCTAATTCATTTTAGAGCTTGAGCAGCATACAATTGCAAAATTACAATTAACTCACTGGATTTCACTCAAATTCTTCATTTTTAGCTTTTGAAAACATTCACCTCTTTCATAGTTTATATTGGAATTCCAAAACATAATACTCAGATAGAACCCTTTACTTGTTTAATTATGGGCAATAAAATCTGCAAAGTTGAAAACTAAGTCTTTACTACATTTTTGACCTTGTTATTATGTTGATAAGATGTTTCCCAGCTAAAATAAAGCAGTCATTATGGTGCCCAATATATGTAGGTGTATAGTTCAACGTTTTTATTACAGGAGCTCTGTTTGTGTTGCATTTGAAATTTGAAGGTTAACTTCTATGCAATACGCAAAGACCCGGTTCTGAAACAAGGATCAAACCCAGTAATCCGACATTTTAGTCCAATGGATAACTTAATGGAAATTATACTGAACCTACACCTACCTACACTGAAAAGCTTTCAACCAACCAATTTGGGTACCTGTGTCACCACAGTTATAACACCAAAACACATCATAAATTCATACACTAAAAAGTCAGCGATAGAGATTTAATACATTGTTGTGTACTCATCTAAACACCCGTGTCTAATGAAGCCTGAAAAAGTTGTCAAATCTTCACTGTGGAACTACAAATGAGCAGGGAGCAACTCTCTTTTGCTGGGTTTTTATGCGCTTCCAGGCGTTTCAATCAGAAACTGTCGATATAAGAGAAAGAACCTCTTACAGTGTTTAGCGTAACGTTGAGATTCTCCATCGATCCACGGCAGGGTATGACCACCCGCTCTCCCTCACGAATGAACACCACTTCAAGCTCCTTGCCAGACGGCACGAACGGTACTTTGTAATCTAAAATGGAGCACAGTTACAAAGTCATCAGCGCTACTTCACAACAGAAACAAGCAGAAATAGGGAAAATGTGACTACCATTAGTGGAACAGATAGCAACTTCCTTGGTCTAAACAAATCAAAGACTAAATAATCCTTTATCTTTAGACATAAACGAGCTACAGTATATTAAGTGAAGTGTGTGATTGTCAACTCAAATTTGACAACACTGAGAGGATTTTAATATGGGGACAGTCAAGTCAATTTACTTAATTTTTTTGTAACTCTTTCTTAAAGGTTTCTTAGACGTTTTGACTAATTGAGTAAACCTAATATTGCATGTTTTAAGCCCCCCAAGGTAAAAATGAAAAGAAAAGAGTTGTACCATGGACAAACAAATAAAGCGATGTTGCAGTCTTCCCATCCTCAACTTTCAGGTCTCTGTAAGAACACTGATACTCTCCGGTTTCATTCACTGTTGCATTGACGATGGTCAGCGTGGTGCAGAAGAGTCCGGAGCCGCTGCAGTCGCTGGTGGAAAAGTGTGTGCTCGTTGGAGGCATCAACCACCTCAGATGCTGCCGACCTCTGCGATACAGAGCAGACAGAGGGTTTTATAGGATGCTGAGCATTACGGGGACTGAGCCGGGCTGAAAGTCTGTCTACGCGTACCTGCATATCAGTTCCAGGTTCTCAGATTTGTTCATCCTGTGGGTGCCATATATGTTCAGAGTTGGTGGGTCAGGGATGAACCGCAGTTCAATGGCTGAAGGAAACAATAGGATAGTTAAATCACAGCACAGACTACCAATCAGCACTGATGATATCAACTTGTGCACCCCAACAAACAGCCAAAGTGTTCCAAGACAATTGCATAATCACTTTCCCAAAACACACACACACACACACAGGTCAGGAACAGAAACCGAAGGCACAACACGGACAAAGAAAATCTCGAACTCAGGGTGTGTTTTCTAAACTACATCTCTGGTTACGTGGGGCATTTTTCCACTGCTGCAGAAAATGGCTGAGCAATGGCAAAACAGGAAGCGGGGGAAGATGGGCCGGGCCGGGCTCAATAGAACGGCACAGTGTGGACTAGGTGGGGTTCCTGTTTCTGAGGATACACACCGCCCGCCCGCTCCCTGTGAGGCCCTAAAGCACATTGTATTGTATGAACTATATGAACAACAAGAAAAAAAAAAGAGACTTACTGTCAAGCTCATTAAGGGAACTCAATGCAAACATTCCAAGTCCTTAATAAACATACATAATCGTATTTTCATTTTTCTCCAACAAAACATTAGAAATACATTTCCCCACTTGTCTCAATGCAAACAAATTCCGATTAAATTCTTTTTTTTTTTAAACATACAGAATCTTACGAAATGGCACAGAGTAACAACGTTGTGATAACTTAAAGGTGCAGATACTTATCCATTTCAGCAAAAGCACTTTTTACCCCGAAATTATTTCTTTACCAGAACAAGAACTCTATCCATATATAGGAATGTGACAAAGAGGTTTCACGTGGCAAAAACATTTGAGTCAGGATAATGTGAAAATACTAAAGAAAAGAAAATTGGATATATAAATCATGACAATGGCAGACTTTCTCTAAGTTGTCAGGACCAACCTGTTGAATATGAACAACTGGGTTCTGTTGCACCTAAAGTCTCTGTTAAACTGACAGAGAAATATATGGTTTCAAAAGTTAGAGATTCATTAATAGAATTTTCTCAGTTGAGTATGCTGTTAGAAATGTTGTAGGATTCGGCAAGCCCTTATGCCATTGTCTTACCAGCGACACAAGTTATGTCCAGAATAACGCAAAGCAGGAGAATGACGGAGACCGCCTGTGCCATCATCCCACAGAAGAAAAAGAGCCAGTCCTCATTAAAGGCTAATTCAAACTTTACAAGAGCCGCAGAAAGTCTCCAACTCCCGCACTATTCATCCATATACCACCGAGGATTCATATTCCACTCCAGAAAAAGTGTGAAAGTCATGGAAGCATGCGGCTGACGCGCATCTGGAGCGCGCAAAGTGCGTCTGCGGGCGCGGAGGAGGACGCGGGGACGCGCTCCAGTGAACGGGGGGGGAGCGAGAGTCTATCCTGTCCTGTCCGAGTTCCATCCAATTAAACCTCACTGGCCATTAACGGTGTGCACACGGTTGATCAGGTGCGGGGAACGGGCCACGGAGCAACACAAAACAGCGCGTTTTCCATTTTTTAAAATCTTCTTCACCATATCAACATTATTATGATGCAGTATTTGGTGCAAATGTATGAGACGACAAAGGTGAGGCTAAAGGCGACTGGTAAAGTTACAGCACAGTCAACCAGAGCAAAGAAATAAAGCAATCAACTTTTATAAAGCCTGCATAACTGCAGAAAGCTGTCGCTATAGTCAGACGATGTCTATTTGTATAACATTAAGAAGACATCAAGAGACATAAGTGAGGGATTCCTATGTAAAATAGAAAAAAAGTGGTGCAAAGATTTATCATATCCTGTTTTGATGGGTATTTTAAAATGATCCATTCAGGCATAACACAATTGAAATAGCAAATGTTTTACATGGGCCTTAGTTTGATCAGTGACACAAAACCAACCCAAAAACTTAAATAAAAATTATACTTTAGCTTCGAAAAGTAATGGAAAAACGCTCCCCTTTGATCACTGCAGTCCACAGACTTATTAAAATCTGCGTGTAATTAGTTTTCCGCCAAATCTGAAATAGAGTCTTTCCACCAAAGTCCTATCAAATCATGAGAGAGCGTGCTGATTTAGGGCTGTAGCCTTGGTTTAAGTTGTCATGTATTGTTAGAACAAACAGATCTTTCTCTGGCATTTGTACAAAGAAAAGCCACAAACATAACATCAATACTTGATTTGAGTGAGTCTGTCTGTAGTCAGTGTGCATCACATAGGTTGAACTTGTGCTCAGGAATGCAGCGTTTCACCTGATGACTAGGGTGGAGGCTCGTGTTTTTTTGCCAGCATGCTTTTGGAGGGCTTTTCGGAGATGATGGAGTTGTCTGTTGGTTGCTACATCCACATGTTTCCTGGCCTGGTCACTTCTACTGGGACTCTCTGCCTACTAATCCGCCTACCCTCCTCCTATCCATCACTTCCTGGAGGACACACTGCACCAAATGCCTCTCTGGAAAACTGGAAAGAAAGACATTTTTTCCATATTTTTTTTCAAATCTGCTTTTGTTCTTCAAATTCAGCTCGAGGTGATTGCTTTGAACTCTGGGCCATTAACAGAAAAAGACAAAACATGAAAGACTGTGTTAACAGTTACATGGAACAAAATTCTATTTATACATTTTGATATGAGTATTAAAAGAAAGGCCATCAGTTTTTTGCGAGAGAACTTGTTTCTTACCAAAGAAACAACCATACAATCGTCTTTATACAAAAATCATGTTTTAACATCTTAAAACAGCCACTTGGTAGAAAATCCTGCCAAGCTGATGATTGTTTCAGTATTGTTTGGCTTCGGTCTCTGTGAACTCATAAGTGAGATTCAAAAGGTCAACGTCCCACAATTCAGTCCAGAAAGAATAGGCACAAAGCACTGGCACGCCAAGCAAAAGAGAATGGGGGAGTGTTTTCACATCGTTTTTACAATGTTGAAGTGTGGGCCCGTTAGAGAAGGCATCAGGGAAACTAGAATGACCCAGCTGAAATAAGGTTAAAATAACATGTCAAGATTGTGTTGTTGGGACTCAGTAGCTTTCCAAGGGCAGCAATTAAATGATGAACTGACATTAAACGTAGTAAATCATAAAAGTTCCTACAAGGCATTCAACATCATGAATGCTTTTTTTAAATGCAAATGGGTGATACATGACTATGATGAATCGATATGCATTGTTAAAAAATACAATTCATGTCATTGGTCAAGTCAAAAAAGGATCCATACAGCTTAGTGTTTTAACTTTCCTTTGAGTCTATATTGCAAACATGTTCACACAGTTCGCCGTCATTTTCTAAAACTCACCCCTCCCAAGCACCAAAGCAAGACACTGTAAAATTGAGTGGTGATATTTCATTAATTTTTCTATTAAATCTGAAATTGATTTAATGCTGCATCACCTAACTGATATTTATTGAACATCCTGTTTCTTTATTTCAGTTTATTTATATTAAATTATTTCTATTTTGCATTGATTTCTACAAAGTTTATTAGCTTTGAAAGAAGGCTTTTTTTGTCTGCTACAGGACTGTGAGTGTTGTCCCTCAGCCCAAAACATCAAATCTTAGATCCTGGACCAATGTCTATGAGCGTTATTGTTTCTCTGCTCCGCCCTCGGGTGTATCCCTGAACCTTTCCTCCTGGGTTCACCTGGTCTCGGCAATTACCTGTGCCCTATTTAGGCCTCCTGGGCCCTTCCTTCCTTGTTCATTTGTCTCGACTTTTGTCGGCATTCCAGCGTTACAGTCTGTGCTCTATTTCTCTAGTTTTTTTTTTTTTACCTTTGCATCATTTTTGGACGACCCCATCTAGATTTTTTGTGTGTACTTTTCCTGTAAATAAATTGAATTTTTACATTTGATTAATCTCTGAGTCTGTGTCAATCAGAGACAGGGGCAAGGGATGGGTGGGGTGGATTTGTCTTCTTCATGTGTGCGAATTACAATGTTCCTGGGGTATTTTTGGCTCTTAAACATTGGATTGTCTGAATCTGTACACAATTTGGTTTTTCACAGAACTTACATAACAAAGGCCTTGATTACAATGAGAGACATTTCTGCAATCTTTGGGGTCCAGCTCTTGGCAAAGGAAAAAAAAGAAGAAGAGGACACTGAGGACATGAGGGGGATGGGGCAGGAAACTGTCCACACTTCCTCAGACAGGATACCGGGCTCCTCTAAGAGGCATCCTGGAATCTGACGGCTCAGAGGCCTTAGCAGGTTTTTCTCACAATAACATCTTTCTCTCTACTGTGATTTATAACAACAAAGGAAAGAGAGGGCACAGTTGGCACCGTTGACCTGTGCGAGCCATTTTAAGGGAGATTTTGGTTTCTAAAATGTGGGTAAAAGTTTAATCTAACAGTCGACACATGGGAGGAAAGTAAGCAGCTTCTTCATTGATTGTATGCAGTGATTTTTACCGAACACACCCAATAGGAAGAAATTAAGTAAGAAAAACTAAGCTGCACTTTAAAAGTAGCAATATTTAGTTATCCTATCTGGCATTAAGTTAAATATATCTGACCTTCAGATTTATTGCTTCAAAAACAGTTTATGTAACTATGACTCATAGATTAGTTGAGAGCAGGACAGACTGATTGGCTGTGAAAACAAGCAAACTGGGTTGTGCTGCTGATAACTTTTCGACTAAATTCAATTTAGTGAATTCCCACTCAACAGGATATAACAATATTGTATGTTACAGAACAGCCTTTTTTAATAGATCAATACCCATTTAACCATTACATCCAATGTAATCCGAACATGGAATCAATCCCTCATTGTAAAGGTTTAGTTTGTTTGTTTTTTTCGATAGACGGACACACAAGCTTTTCTTAAAGTGAGACCAGGGGTTCTGACAAGAGAGTAAGCTGAAAAGGCCTTTATCAGACTGCATTAATCACAACATCATATTAAATTACATCAATATTATTTTTCGATGCGGATTCATTTATATGTCTTAGTATATAACAAGGTATCAGGCTTTTATGTCTGCCTTTTGATTGACAGTATACAGGGGACGGTGTCTACAGGGAGAAAGACAGAGACTGACCAACAGAACAAGGTAACTAGATAGCCGTGGAGAAGGTGGCCAGAGATGGTGGTGGAATGCTGAGACATCTTTTTTAATCTCCTTTACTGCAATGGATTACCAGAGACACAGTAGAAATATTCATATCCAGTTCCTCAATTTTTATTTTACCAATGGAAATGGTATTACAATCCCAACAGTTGTTCGGAAATCAACTGCAATGCATGGTCTGGCTACATTTGGAGGTTCGTGCAACAAAATTTAACACGTCTTCACAGCCATTTTAAAGAAGAGGGCTGTGCCCCAGTAGAACTTCGCATACGATGAGCCCTCTCACGTTTGCCTGCTCTATGAGGACAACTTGAAAGAGGAGGGGGTCGAAATGCTGCCCCCTGTAGACCAAGCGTCCACTCATCCTGCAAAAAGGGGTCGTTCTAACGCAGGGTAAAAGTGTTACTGACACAATGTAACGCCGAGTTACTGTAACATCAGTCCAAAATCTTTAAGTTCACGTTTCACTCCTTTCATGGCCAAGGGCTATAGAGAGCGTCACTTCAGCACTTGTGTAAAAATGTTCAGTGGTTATTTTTAGTTTTGCACACACTATTCGCTTAAAATGTTTTATTGGAATTATTCAATTTCTTTTACATGACAAATATGAACTGCATTGCAAACAACTCCCCAATTTTCGTTCATCCGTTCTCCACCCCGGAACCTTTGCGGAATGTTTTCCGCCGGTCTCGTTTTCGGTGTTGCACAAAACAATGACCGAAGCGCCGAAATGCCTGCGAGTTCAGGTGGCCCGAGTCTCATTGATATTTTGTGGGGTTTTCTCGCTGCTTGCTTCCTTGTCGCTTTTTATGCTCACAAAATCTCAGTTCGATCGCCGGCCGAGACGTCGCGTGTCTACGTGTTGTTCCAGGACCTTATTCGATACGGAAAAACCAAACAAACCCTCAGACGAGCTGACTGGCTTCGAGCGTTTGACGTCCCAAAAAGGTTAAAATGAAACTAACCCGCAAGCTTAATGTTGTTTAAAAGAGTAAAAGTACAAACATACATAACAAGACAAATGGGCCAATAATTGTGTTTCGTTTCCTCCTTCCAGGTGGTTCTGGCACTTTTATGCCATCTCTGTTACCTGGAATATCTTTCTTCTGGCCGTGTACCTGAACGCCACATATCAGCAGCAGTCCTTCCCATCATGGTTGACCAGGGTATTGGATGTTTTGACAGGGATGCCAGGCTCTGCCAGTCAAGGTAGGCTGACAGACCCTTTGCTCTGCTGAAGCACCACCCGTTTAGAATCCTACTGACTTGATGCTTTATGCAGTCCCCCAGCTGTCCACCGTCCTGGTGCAGATGCTGCTCTGTGCACACTCCCTCAGGAGGCTGCTGGAGTGCCTGTTCGTGAGCGTTTTCTCTGATGGAGTCATCCATTTAGCACAGTATGGATTCGGCCTCGGTTATTACATCATACTGGGGTTGACGGTGCTCTGCTCGGACCGTATGTCAAAAGGTTAGTCTGATGTCTGCGAGCACTCTTTGCACCTTTTGGTGGTTCTGCTATGCTTTTTACCCGTTTGCTGTTTTACTTAGAAACTGGGACCTTACTTGCTCAGCTGGACTGGTTATATTTAACTGGATTTGCACTTTTCATCTGGGCATCACTACTGCAGCATCAGTCCCTGGTCCTGCTCGCCGGACTCCGCACTGGAAAGTCAGGTAAATCTGAGCCTCTGCCTCTGTTTGTTTTTCTTGTTTTTTTTGTGTGTGTGTGTGGGGCTGGCTGTCATGCTTATTATTGCTCTATGCAAACAGATTGAAGAGACCTAAAGTAGGGCAGTGATCAGGACTCCTATCATATGATTTTTTTTATCTTATTGCCCAAATAAATTTGAAGCTGACATTAAGAATGTAAACAGGTCTGCACATCCAGTCAATATGTAGCACCATGCCCATCAATTTAATGTCTGTTTTGCTCTCCAATGACTCAAGGGAAAGCTGTGTAGCTCTAAAACACTGCAAGCAATTTTCAAAGGCAGGAATATTACTTTGAATAAGACACTTTCTTACAACTTAAAATGACAGAGTATATTGTTCTCACATGTATAGTGTCTGACTTTTTTTTGGAAAGCTTGTTGCACAACTTGCATTCCAAAATGTCAGAAACTTTCTAGGTTGTTTCAGGACTCCAAGTGCACATCTCAGTTTTCTTTTTATTCATGTTTTGCAGGTAAAGTGGAGACACTGGCTCACAAAGTGCCCACGGGGGGCTGGTTCGAACTGGTTTCATGCCCACATTACTTTGCCGAGCTGCTAATCTATGTCTCACTGAGCTTGTTATTCCGTGGCCTCTCTTTGACCTGGTGGCTGGTGGTGCTTTACGTGTTCTTCAACCAGGCGCTGGCAGGGCAGCTTTGTCATGAATTATACATTAACAAATACGAGTCGTACCCAAAGGACAGAAAAGCATTCATACCGTTTGTGCTCTGAATGCTATGACCTGGGAGTCTCTTTGTGGTCATCACTGACAGCAGGTGATCGAGAAGATGGATGGACACTTTCTGAGGACTTATTCTCATCTCAACCAAACGCTGCTGCTCAACAACAATTGACCACAATGGATTTTTGAGTGTGAACTCTGTTTCAGCTCTGCTGGTTAGATGTGGACCGTTTCACTGTGACTAACATGTGAAGACATAATGAAGAATGCCACTTGAATTCACCTTTTGGTTGTAGCAAAGCCAATGTGTTTTTACTGATTTGCTATTTAATGTTTGACCAACATAAAAAATCTACATAGTATCTCACTAATGTGTTATTTTCTGTGTTGAATTTGGCATTGTACACATATGTATAAATATAAAACTTGTTTCCCACTCTGTTCTCACACATCAAAATGCTATCTGGATGTAAGATTACCTCCCTATCACACTTTGAAATAGTTTGGACTTGTAAGCACACCGCCTCCCTCCCCGAGGCATGAAATCATTCTCACCCTGACATAAAGAGAATAGTACATTATAAATTGTGGTGGAAATGATGTGGAATCATCAACCACCATCAGATGTGCACTTGTCCAGAAAGGACATCCATGAAGCGGATCATTGACGCTGCTACTCAGGTGTCTATTGGGGGTGGGCTGTTCACCCAGCTATCATCTTTTAAGTGATACATTAATATCTGAAGCTATACTGGCAGATTTCAAATTATTTTTTTACACGTGCTCTATCTGCCCACTAATTAACACAACTTATTCCACCTCTGAACGTCTTTCTTGACTTGAAGTTGTTTCACACTATTTTTAAATGTCTCTGATACCGACAACACAGCTGGCCAATCAGTGAGATGCCTTCTCATAACGTCAACAAATACGTAAACGTCATTCTTCCAACTGTCCAATCACCTGTTCGGCATGTTAATTCAATGCAAGCAGCGACATCCCAACTTCCTTCTTGAGTTGGCCCACTCGATTAGCTCGTGACGTGTATTGCCTACGAGTCCTACAAACTGTAGTTTGTCAATATGAACTTACTCCGTGCTGTAGCCGGTCATAGGAAGTGAATGACGGAAGAGGAAAAAGTCGTGCTAAACGTATCAAGTCGTTTTCGGTCGCAATGATGCCTCTGTTAGTGGGGAGAGGAGATGGACTGGCTAACAGAAATTTGATATTTCCGCTCGTAGTTGTCTTGCTGTCGTTGTCCGCCGTTGCTAATGCCATTCAAGAGGAGGCCAAACCGATACAAGAGCAGCCCGTGCAAGAGGTAAACGTTTTTTTTCACCTGGTTCTTACCTGTAACATTTGTTATCGTCGTCTGTGTAAGCGGGATTTGACGCCGGTGCTGTTGCTAGCTCCTCCAGGCTAGCCAGCACATGCTAACAGAAGGGTATCACACTAAGTTCCGGGTGTACTATTTAAGGAAATTGTCCCGCTACAGTATTTTCGCAGCTTCAGTTTTTTAAAGTAAACAAACCCAGTCTTCTGGGTCATAATGATAATCTTATATCAGCATACCGGTGTCCACAGGTCTTATTTATAATTTCAACAATGGTTTAAATCGCGCTGTGCCGTGCATAGTCGACTTTCCTAGTTAACCGATTGAAACTTTGCTGCTGCTTTTTGCTTTGTCCCAGAAAGCTGCAAGTCCCCATCCAGTGGGTCCGGTCGTTTCCGAAGATGCCTCCAGCAAAGGGAACATGGGATTCATTCATGCTTTTGTGGCCTCTGTCTCTGTCATCATTGTGTCCGAGTTGGGGGACAAGACGTTTTTCATCGCAGCCATCATGGCCATGCGTTACAACCGCCTCACCGTGCTAGCTGGAGCCATGCTGGCCCTGGGAATCATGACTTGTCTCTCAGGTTTGGAAATGTTTACACTTAACCTTTATTCTTTGCCACCCATCAATCACGTGGAACAAATCAGTCACGATGAATCTCTTCTATTCACACTCAGTTCTGTTTGGCTACGCCACCACGATCATCCCCAGAATCTACACCTACTATGTATCCACTGCTCTGTTTGCCATCTTTGGTGTGCGCATGCTGAGAGAGGGGCTGAAAATGAGTCCAGACGAAGGCCAGGAAGAGCTGGAGGAAGTGCAAGCAGAGATCAAGAAGAAGGATGAAGAAGTAGGTCAATGTGAAATCTATTAGAAATCTGACCTGGGAGCCTCGTTTGATTCCTGACAATCTGTCCAAACAAGAGTAATCAAAAGGAAATCCCAATCAGATAATCGGTGTGTTTGCAGAGAAATTCACTACTTCGTGATTGAGAGAAATGTGCAGCTTCATTTAACCCATCATTATCTATTTCAACTTTTTTTCCTGTTTTTGATTTTGTTTCTCTAGAATCAACCACCAGCTTTCAGGTTTTCTATGTTTGATTAAAGTTTTTGGAAGAATACAAGTTACAAATCTCTCACTGCAGAGATGTTTCTGCCACTGATGCGTTTAATTTTTGTGTCTGCACGTGCAGCTCCAGCGCTCTAAGCTTGCCAACGGGGCTCCAGATGTGGAGGCTGGAATGGGGACTGCCTCGCCTCAGGCCAAGTGGCACAGCCTGATCTCGCCCATCTTCATCCAAGCCCTCACCCTTACCTTCCTGGCAGAGTGGGGGGACCGCTCCCAGCTCACCACCATCATTCTGGCTGCTCGGGAGGTGGGTTACATTTATTCTGATGAGCACATGTATGTGATTCATCATGTGTTGCAACATCCACCATACCTGTAGGTTCACATTCGGTTCTGGCATACAGTTAAAACATTTGAGCCACATGAATCATAAACTGTTGGGTAAATAAAAAAACTTGTTTGTGTGCTTTGTTCTGGAGCTTGATAATGACAGGCTTCCTTTTATTCCCAGGATCCGTTTGGAGTTGCAGTTGGCGGTACATTTGGACACTGTTTGTGTACAGGGCTGGCAGTGATCGGAGGAAGAATGATCGCCCAGAAAATATCTGTGAGAACAGGTGAGACATTCTCTATGGACCAACACTAGTTTTTTTTTTTTTCTTCTTTTCTTTTAATACTGGCCAGCACTCAAATATAAGATGGTGTTTTACCACCACTTACTGGTCGGGAGGGTTGATTCCCAAACAAGTGCCGACTGTTAAAAGGAAACCAAAGTTCCTATCAAACTGCTTCTGGCTTCTGGGTCCTGTAGTAACGGCACTAAAGAACGACACTGAAACGACTGAGACAGTGCCCAGGCTCAGCTTTCTTAGGAAACTGCAAAAGCTGTACTTGTTTATCTAAAAGTGAATTGATTTTTTCTTGTTTGTCTTACAGTCACAATCATCGGAGGGATTGTTTTTCTGGCGTTCGCCCTCTCTGCCCTGTTCATCAAGCCAGATGCTGGATTTTAATTGGAAAAAAGACTTTCGTGTTACTATGTAAATAAGTGTAAAATGTGATTTAAGTTAGCAGAATGGACCGTATTGATCCGCTGCTCCTCCTGGCAGGAAAGTGTGATGGGCTAAAAGGGTTCGGTGTCCTGCCTGCTTTTCCCAGAAAGCCTTTGTTCCACTAGAGTGTAAAGTCAAAGGGATTCCTTGAAGTTGGGGTGAGCGTTAGATTACAGGAGTTACTGAGTGTCAACCTGTTGTCTGAAGCCTTGTGACTGCCAATAATGCACATTTAGTCTCAGCCAAGGCACTGGCCATTAGGGAAAAGAGTAAGGCGTTACAGATGGTGGTGGAAACGCCAGCAGACTGAGGAGGAAGCAGGACTCTACAACCCTCTGTAAGAACAGTAAACGCATCACCAGGTGTGAGATCTGCAGCTCTGAAACTGAGCCTAAACACACCGTATTTTTCTCATTTGTACAGTTTGAGTTAGGCACTTAGTCTGTTTGAAAATATTGTCATTTTTTTCTCTCTTTTTTTTCCTTCGTTGTTTACTTTTTAAATGTCAGATGGTGGGTTTTTATGCCTAACATGTGCCCTGTTGCTGGGCATGTCAGCAGAAGCCTGCTCCTACACAGAGCTGCTCAGGTGCACGGCAACCAGATCTGGTGTTACTTTGTTTCCATCATCCTCTGCCAGCGACTTGAAACTAAAGGAGAGGGTTAGCGGAACCACCAGCACGTATCGGGTTTCAGTGTGCTCCGATTTGAGGCGATGCTACTTTTAACAGAGAGCAAGGAGTGCTCAGAGTTCTACGAAGAAGCATCCTGCCAGAGATGGACCCATGACAGAATACTTTAAAGACACAGCTAACTGTACCTCAACTTTGAGACAGAAAATCCGAGTACCTCACATTTCTGTATGCCTCCTCCTCCAACTCAGTCAAACACAAACCCAGAGGGTACAGGATAAGTAAGTGGGTCATTTCACCTTTAAGCAGTAGATGTCTCATTTGACCTGTGTTCTAGCTGCTGCATCCTAATTCCAATACATTAAACCTTTATATTTGAAACTGTATTTATTTAGCTTTTTTCTCTTCTTTTAGGCATATGTACTGTTGACAATAAGACAGAGAGAGGTTACAAGCAAGAAATAGAAATGTACTATATTTCTGAGGTGAACAGGAGAAGGCCACATTGTCAATATTTGACTAAGATATGCCCATCTGTAAAAAAAATCTTGTCTACATTCGGGTAGTTAAAAAATGCCAATAAACTTACAATGCTGATTAAAAATGCTTAATTTGATTTCTTAACCTGATTTTTAAAGAAATGTTTACTTTTCCCCAAAGGAGCCCGTTTTGCATACATGTTAAGCAAATATGAACAATAGGGGGTTTTATCAACAGAAACATTTGTTTAATTCTTGATGTTGAGAGAAAAAAACAACAGTTTGTATATGACATAAAAGATCATGTTCAAATTTATGGAGGGTTTGGCTCAAGAAATGTATTTAAGGCAGCTTAAAAACAAAGTATTTAAATGAGCAGCAGGTGGCAGTAGTGAGCCTCTAGTCTGTTTCTGCTGTTAAAAGGCCAAAACCTTCAAATAATGAAAATACTAAATGGAACATTAAGTTCTCAGTTGTACATTTTGTTTTTATCTAACTGATCAGAGACTACTGAATTTTATAGTACACGCCCTCATATATTCCTGCCTACCAGATTAAATGAAGATATCAATGGAGGCTTCCAAATGAGAAATTGAAAGACATCATTGGCACTTGCTTTGGATATCTGTATACATTTGCAGGTCAAACATATTTAAACTAAGTCTCTTGTAAAAAATGCTGCTCTGAGGGTTGATCATAGACAATATGATCATTTTATGTTTCTAGTAAGATACTGTTACTGTTCTAATGTAGCCACTTCTTATCAGCGTGTATTCAGTCTGACACAGAGTTGTGTCTTTTTGCTGTGGAGTGCACTGCGGCAGTAGATTTCTTGAGCCAAACCATAAGCTGCACAATCCTGGAACGGAAGAACAGCAGTTAGAGCTAAAGGTGCACACATCAAAAACACAACATTTAACATAATGCGCTGTCTTTCAGTATAGATGTCACACCTGCTTTTATTTGGAGAACACGGGGATTGTCCTGCATTCATTTTTTTTTTCAATTTGATCTCAGTTCAATTATGTCTTTGTGCATATATTTGAAGTTTCTGATTAAAGATGTAAAGTAAACAGAGAAAAAAGATGCATAACCTTCAACTCACAAGTAATCTCAAAGCCTTTTTGGGCTGTCTTTGCAGGTATGTCACAGTTAGTTTTGATCCCTCATTTGTAGCTCAAACCTATATTTTTGGAGCATTAAAACATATCTTAAAGCTCAATAAAGTTAATAGAAACTGATTTGAGATCTCCATATATTCTGTTATATTATATTATTGCAAAAGATGCACTAAAGGGTATGCCAAACCCCTTTATGTTTGCAGAACAGGACCATGTCAACTCTGTCTGGCTTTTTGATATAAGACTTGTATTGATATGTGTAACAGTGTTTTGTTACAAAAGACAGGTAGAGGAGTGCTGTGTGCAATAGCAACAACAGTGCTGTCATAATCTAAAATAAATACATTGTTGGCTAAATAAATTTGTTCATATCACAATAAATACAGATAAAACAAACACAATCAATCATTCATTTGAATTATAATTCATTAATTCAGTTTAAAATTCCCCTTACATTATATTGGTCTATGACGTTTTTTTTCCTCTTTTATTCCTTTTTAGAATTTATCTACCAGTGTATTTATTTTAGCAATTCTGCTTTTTCAACCTTTTCATTTGCATTTCTACCTTATTATACTAATTGTACAGTGGCCATTCAAGGCAATGGTTGAATACGGACCGGAAGTTTGGAAGGTTAACGGTGTCAGCAGCTTCATGAATCTTATAAAGAGCATCAGTCACGAAGCTTACATTTTTCTTCAAATTTTATAAACAACTATATTTTCAAAAGACCAGTTAGACACTAAGAGACTGTCACGGTCTTTTAATTACCAAGTCATTTGTATCCAAGACTCGATTTCAGAGAAACATTTGGCTACTTTCGGAAAGAAATGCACCACGCAAAGCACAGAGAAGTACGGAAAATTAGTAAAAATATAAGTGAATAAACCCAGTTAATAAGAATAATACAACTCAGTACATTTAAAAAGATGTATCAAAAAGAAATACGAGATTTGACAGAAATGCAAACATTCAATGTAAGAGAAAACGAATACAGGAAAGACATATTCACATATAATCTGGTTCCAACTAACCTTTATTCAGCCGTTTATATTTATATTTGTACTTGTTTTCAGATTATGACAGTTTTTGTACTCCATCCAGAGGTTTTTCACATTTTTATGTCTTTGACTTTCAATTTTTCAATCCAGAATTTCCTTCCCAGTGAATCCTGACACCATGAGAACAACTACCTCAGAAATGTTATGTAGGGGACCAGAAAAATGTGATATGCAAACACATCAGCATATCTGATGAAGGGGTTTCAAACTGAGCTACAAATCAAGATATCGGGATAGCAGAGAGTTTTTATTAGCAGAATGGAAAGTCCAACACCACTGTCATGGTCTTCCTATTAGGTTTTTGTGGTTCGCCCACTTTGTTTAAAGAAATCAGAAAGTGCGATACAGCATTAAAAAAAAATAAGAAATTAATCTTTAAGTCCAAGTCTTTAAGGAAAATAAATAAATGACTGTGGCACATCTAAAACAAAGAATGGTTAGCTGCCTGTAGTCTCACAGCCTGAGTAATCCAAGCCTTCGATTTCACAAAGTGCCAAAATAGGTATTGTGCGGTGTGAAACAACTAAAGTGCTTTTACTAAATAATATAGTATTATAAAAGACCTCAAATTAGATGGTAAATCAATAAATTATCTTTATAAGGGTTGTTTGATGGGACAGTTTGTAAAAGGCAGTATTAATACTATAGAACAGTAGAGGATTAATGCAGCAATTGATTTCTTCCATGAGAAAATTGACTTTCTTTGCTAAAAATATTAATAATCAATTAATTAATAATAGTTATAATAATTAAGCTGCCTTCTAAATAGAGCTGTTCTCATTCATGTGATTTTTCTATGTTTGTTGTCCAATACCTGAATTCTGAAAATGAGCTTCTAAAGACTACATGTCAACCTGTAGACATTTGAAACATGTTCAGGTCCATGGTTTCACAAAGATGAAGAAGCCACAGAGCTGTGAGTGCCATACCATCTGGAGGTTTATTCAGTCAGATGGTGAAGAGGCTGTCCAGAGCCAGAGTGTGAAGGGATGACTTGGGGAGGACGTCAGTGGAGGAAATTCTAACTCCACAGGGAGATGGTGAAGATGTGCATAACATCCTCAGCTCAACTAAAAACACGACAGGTGAGAATGACTGAGACACCTGCCAGAGATGTTAATGCAACACTGAATCAGCAGCAAACAGGTTTAATGAGCACAGTTACCCTCTGAGCAGGAGGAAGTAACTAAAAAAGACATTTTAACAGAAAAATAAAAGATGTGGTAGGCTGATGCCTCTCCATGTCTGGACAGATGACAAATGAAAAAGAAAGAAAAATCACTCCATATGAGGACATGGTATGCATCAACAAGTAATGATATGAAGCTGTGGGTTGGCTTTATTGCTCTTCTGTTTAGCTTAACTCTTTATATTTTCTGGCACAATTTGTGTTTAGAGTCTTTAGAGTTTGAACTTTGAGCACATTTGTTAAAAAGCTTAAGAACACTGAAAAACACCTGTCAATAAGTTTGACACTAATGAAACCACGTGAAAAATATGGGTAAAGGATTTAAGATTTTTTTTAAAACTAACTGTGACACAACAAACAGCAAAGGCATTGCCTGCTAAGCAGACACACAAACACTTCCCTCCAGGTGAAAGATAGCTCTGAAACATCTGCCACTGAGCATTTTCAAGATCGTTTTCTTCAACTACTAGAAAACAAAAAAAGCTAATTTAAAGCTGCGAATAACAGGCAATGCATTTCATGCATCATATAAAATATTAGTCATCTCTTTCGGTATATTTACATTATATATTACATTTGACATTCTGTACAATAACATTTCCATCTATACCACATTCTTAAAAATATTCTCCCAGAATCATTTTCAAACACAGAAAAAAAGAGGTGAAAACTTCCAAACTGACCGTCCTTGAGGAAAAGATAAAGTCTTCACAGCCTGGAGAAAAAACAACGCTGTGATGGTGACGGAGGCACGCACGCACACACACACGTGCACAAAAACACGCGGTGCACAAAGTGAGAGGACCGGGAGAGAAAAACCCCAGTAGGGATTGGGGTTTCATTTACTCGGAGCGAGAGCTTCAAGGCAGAGTCAAAACCTATCGCCAGAGCCACGGTGAGCCCAGTCCTGGGTCCACTCCCCACTCTGTGGTCAGGGGTTTTATGCAAACAGCAGGAGATGCTTGTGAGGGGAGGACAGCCCAGGCCTTCCCATGCAATCACTTCTCAGGCCTGAAGGCACCGTCTCATCCGCCACACCAGTGCTCGAGTATGGACAAGCGTGCTTCAGGTGGGCTGGGGTCAGCTACTGCTGCTGCACCGCAGAGCGGTCAGGCAAGCTGTCCGGCCTGTGAGGGGCCAGCGCGGGCTGCTGCTGTTTCTGCTGTTGCAAGTGTTTTTGCTGTTGGTGCTGTAGCTGCTGCTGCTGGGGGGCGGCAGTGAAAGCACTCTGCTGCTGCAAAGGGAAAGCTGCCTGGAGGATCAACTGTGTGGACTGGTTTCCGTGAAGAAGCCGAGGAGCCTTAAGCCAAATATTTCGATTAGTCAAAACAAAAAAACCTGATCATTTCAAAAGACAATAAGCAACATTCCTAATGGTTGTCAGTAGACATGATAAACATGGGTTAACAATATCAAGCCCTAACCCTGACAACCAATTCTATCACTGTGGGTGCGTATGGTGACTGAACAAATTAGAATTAGCAAGAAGAAACTACATCAACAGGGCGGCACGGTGGTGTGGTGGTTAGCACTGTCGCCTCCCAGCAAGAGGGTTCTGGGTTCGAATCCCGGGGGAACCAGGACCTTTCTGGGTGGAGTTTGCATGTTCTCCCTGTGTCTGCGTGGGTTCTCTCCGGGTTCTCCGGCTTCCTCCCACAGTCCAAAGACCTGCATGTTAGGCTGATTGGAGATTGGGGAAATTGCCCTTAGGAGTGAATGTGAGTGGTTGTTTGTCCTTGTATGTCTTGTGTGTGGCCCTGCGATGGACTGGCGGACTGTCCAGGGTTTACCCTGCCTCTCGCCCGTTGACCACTGGGATAGGCTCCAGTTCCCCCCGCGACCCCATGAGGGAATAAGCGGTATTGATAATGGATGGATGGATGGATGGAAACTACATCAATTATTGGAGAGTCAGAAGGCATTAGCAAGGCAAGTTTGAATGATTTATTTTATTCTAACAAAAATAATAAGCTCGTCAAAAAGATTCCCTACTTGACCACAGTGATTTTTTTTTTTTTTTTAAAGCTCAGTGTTGCATCATGGTGTTTGCGTGCATGCATTGTGGTGTTTCCTCTGTGCTGTCGCATCACAGAAACACGTAATCTGTCAAAGGAAATCTTTAATGGCCGCCTAAGGGCAGGCCGACTGTGGGCCTGCTGATAGCCGGGGGCTGGCGGGCAGAAGTTGTGCGGTGGTACCTGTAGGAACTGCGGCTGCTGCTGGCTGAGAGGGGCCTGTCCGGGCTGCAGGCCGGACACCTGCGGCGGCGCCTGCTGCTCCTGCTGCTGGGGCTGCTGGGAGATGCTGATGGTCTGAGTCTGACCCTGCTGAGGAGCAAAGGCTGTCACCACCTGACCCATAAACATGGTGGTTGGGACCACCACAGCCCCGCATGCCATCTGTCCAGTGACCAGCTTAGTGAGCAGCTGAGGGCCTGTAGGAAACCTGGAAGACACAAGAAATTAGTAAAGATTAACCTCACCTCATTTTTTAAATACTTTCACTGTCATATTAAGGAGATCCACAACATCTGAATTAAAAAGTGGGAACAGCGGTCACACAATAAGTCAGCTTGGTTACTGCAAATGATGCTGGTTTTAACAAATAAAATGACAATTCAAGAAGCACACCAACATGAAGAATCCCACCGTATTTGAGCTGTATGGTCTTGTGCAAATGTTGCCACTGCAGGATTGTTGGGGCAAGTATTCTGCGCCAGGCTTGTTGCAATCTGTACCACGTTAGAGGGGCTCTGCTGAGGGATCATCACTGTGTTGTAAAGAGATGCACTGAGGGGGCTGTGCTGAGGCTGGACGGTGAGAGTCGACCGCTGAGACTGAAAAACACAGAGTCAATATGCACATGCATTACCACTGGCTGGGCCGATGGAAGGAAAAGAGGACAAAAAAGATAAGATGTGACTAAACAAAAGGACTGCTGGAGCTGTCACATTTATCTGACCTGTGAGAGAGCTGTGCTCTGTTCCCTCAAGAGGGTTTGCGGCTGGGACTGGGGCTGGATGCCTTGTTGTTGCTGTATGCTGCTTTGCAGAGGCCCTGCAGCGACCACCTGGCCCTGCATGTTCAGGGTCCCCCCCTGCTGCTCAGGGCTTCCTTGGGCCATCTGAACAGAGGCGAGATTTAGTCCTCCAGCTCCTTTCTGCAGGAACATCTGAGAGCAACACACAACATTGAGGCCACAAAACAGAAATAGAATCAAAGGCTTAAAAAAATGCCTAAACACAGAAAAATGAAACGCAGCTATTGGGTTAGTTTTCTGTTCCTGTCATCTGAAACATGTTCCCCAGCATCTGAGACGTCCCACCTGCAGACTCTGGCCCTGAACCCTCTGAAGCTCGTCCTGGATCAGGCGCAGCTCGTCCTGCTGCCGCTGAATGTTGGCCTCTATCATCCTGGTCCTCTGCTCCAGCTGCTCTTTCAGGTGCTGCATGGCTTCTAACTGGCTGGAAAACTACCAGGATTGATTCATTAGTAACTCTACAGAGGACATCAACTCGTTTGTCCATAGTCACGTATTCTCCAGTAAGTTCAGCACCAGTAGCTTACTTGGTTAGATTGAAGTTGTTGTTGTTGCTGCTGTTGAGAAACTACCGAAGGCGCCATGCTCTGTCCTGTAGTTTGAGAGTTCATTGACTGCTGCAGAAAAAAAAGAAAATAAGCCCACAATATATACAATGTATAATATACAAGAGCATTAAGCTGTGATGAACAGGATAGACTTGAGATTCAGGATAGATGCTCTCTTGTCACCCCTCTGCTAACCTGACTGCTGACTGATGATCTTCTCTGTGGAGTCATGTCCAGGGCAGAGGTGGACTGTCGACATGGGGTGCTTCTGTCGCCGTGAAGCTTCATCTGCATGGCTGCAGGATACATATACGTAAACGCATGCGTAAATGCAAGGATCCGGCGGTGAAAAGACACCAAGAAAAAACAACAATGTTAAAAGTTCTTACGGGCCATACTAAAAGTTAACATTCTGACATGGATTGTCAATTTTGGATTGCAATAAAGTTAGAAAGTAAAAAAAAAGTGCTTACAGGCCGGGTCAGATACAGCTGTGTGGGAGGACTTGCGCGAGCTGCGGGATGAGACAGAGGTTGTCCGGCTGTGGTTGAAGCGTTCCAAAGCCTCCTTCAGGCTGGAAGTGTTGAGCTGGGACTCGGAGCCGGAATCATGGGACTGCTGTTGGACAACAAGGCCGCAGGTCGCGTCACCTTTCTATTCAAACTCAAGAGCACCTTGTGTTGAGCATTGATCACCTTGTCGACTGCGAGTTCCGGCTGCGATTCTTCAATTCCGAGCTCTCTGCGATGCTCCGCTCTGACTTCAGAATAGCTGTAGAGCAGAGACATGCACATTAACTACAAAGGACACCGTAGAACAATGCTATTCTTCAAACTTCTAGAAAAGAAAAGTGTCGCAGAGAAAAATGACCTCACGACAGTGTGTGTGCAGACGATAAACTCTGGCCTGGAGTTCCACTGGTGATAAGTGATATAGTAATGGGTCTGCAGCCAAATCCACTGCTGCCCTTTGGTGAGGAATCTGTAGTAGCATGACTTCCCTTTGCCGTACTGCATTACTGCGCAGAAACAGAGGGAAAACTGACAATTACTTTTTAAAAACTCCAGAAAAAGTTTAACAACAAACATGACAATAGATTGGTGACAGATGCACACTCACAGTGTTCGTGGCATTTGGCGAGTGTTTCCAGGTCATCTACGTGATAGTAGTCATATCCCGATGTACCCAGGACCTCAAATGGGAGGTAACCAATGATAGGCGAGGCTCTGGACAAAAAGGGAGCGGCAGTCATTCTGTAAATCCTGTCATGTTGCTGAATTAAACATCAATATGTTTTACTGGCTTATTCCCTGGTCAAATGAAGATACAGAATACTTTAACATAAAACAAGACACACCAAAACTTAACTTCAAGGGAGCATTTTCTATCAAGTTGTTAAAAAACAAGTACACGACTAACAGTTTGACCTCACAACAACCCAAATGAGCGTTTTGCCCCTGCTGGAGGGACAAACGGTGCTTACTGATCAAGCTCTGTCACACTCAGATTTTCAAGGTATTACCATAGTTAAATTATTTGAAAAAATACTGCAACAATGTCATTTCTTTTTGCCATAAATAATTCCTTTCTTTGATTCCATAAATAGTATAAAAACATGATCCAAGTATGTGAAGTTAAACAATATAAATCTGGTCTGTCTAAAGAGAACAAAGAAGCACTTTTAGCCCTGCTCCTGTTAATGTCCATATTTATGAACTGTAAGTACGCATGAGGAGACGTCATGAAGTTATAACGGATGATGTCAGTCGTCAAGATAACATGAATCACTGTTGGAAAATACTGGTGTGACAGCAGGTCAGGCTGCCCTGACTGTTCCTTCACATGTTAAATTATGTTTTCGGGAGACTCACACAGCATGGGGGGAAAACTACGAATCAAAACTAAAAAATTAATTATTAAGCTCAGAATGGACAATATATACAAGCTTTACCTGTGGTCCAAGAAGAGAAATTTCCACTCTAAACTGTGCCTGGAGGTAAACTCCTCATTAGGTTCCTCTACGGTGCACATCTCCTGTAATGGAAAGAAGAGAAGTGCTGATATCATCATCTGCATTTACAGAACTCCAAAATCAAAGAAATATTGGGTGGGGTTTTGGGTTTTAAGTGTGTCGTTTTTATCCTGGGTCATTTTCTGCTCAGTGTGTGTGAGGATAAACTGTATAATTTTGGAGAAAAACTAAAGACAGCATTCACTGGGTCAAATCATCAAACTGGGACTCGTTCAGATCAGCCCAGATGTGGAAGGAGAAGGGGAACTTCCTCTGAAGACTGTTCCTCTGCATTACTAGTCTGAATGATGCTTCACTGACTCCCAGGCACAGCATCATTTAATAACCCGCATCCAGCACAGGATTGAACATAATGAGGTCACAGAGCAACATCGCTAATAATCAAGAGACAGAGAGAATAGGTGGCGATCCTCACTTTGATGAATTGTGGTTTGGCAAGCCTGACAGTTGCAATGAGACACAGTCCGCTCTCAAAAGCTGAGTGAAACGATCGCTGAAGGACTCCTTCGAAACCATTTCGGGCACAGTTAGGCACTGGTGAAAACAAAAGACAACACAAAGACGGGATAAACTCTCAAGAACGAGGAAAAGACAGTTCATTTGACACAGCAACTTACCACTATTCAGGGATTTAAAGTTTCCAATGAACTTGACATATTCATATACAGGGGGCTCCTTGGGGTCAATTGTCCCTCGAAGCATGTGGCAACAGAATTCCAACTGATTTTTTGCTGAAGAAAATCAAAATGAATGATGTTTAAAAACAGAAACAAACTGCTTCTTCAGATTAATTCTTTGCACATGGAAAAATAGGAAGAGTAAGAGCTACTGGACGAGATAAAACACGATTTAAGGACTCCTCTTACTTTTTAAACACTCAGTTTTAAGTGGATCTCCTTCCATGACATGAGACGACAGAGCCTTGTAGACATCCGAATGCTCCCCCATTGGTAAGAAGTTTAAAAGGTTCTGATCCACAAGATCAGACTGAAACAGATGACAGGCTTGCATAATAACTTGGACTTTTTTTAATGCCATGAATTAGCATTAATTCAGCCTATACTCACAGGTAGGTGTTCTAGAAGGGACGTCACACTCTCTGAGACATAGATAATATTTCCATCGCTCATAATTGCAAGGAAAAATCCGTCCAAGGCCTGAAAAGAAAAAAAAAATCTCCTTTAGTTTAATGATATTTTTCTTCAAATGGCGGAAATAAATAAGAATTTAAAATATCTCACCTCCAACATCAGCTGAGTGAACTCTTCATTACTAAGAAAAGGAGGTTTCCAGTCTTGTCTAATCTCAGTTGATTCGGACTGAGCTGCGATTTCTGGCAAAGAGGAAATCAAAACATGCTCCCAGAATCTCATGACAAAAAAATTACGTTTCCAGTAGCTAAGAGTGTTTTTTCACCTTTGTGTTTGTGCAGAAAATCAATGCTTTTCTGTAAAATAGTCGACTTGTCCATTTTGCGGGTGTTGCCTGGCAACATGGTACCCAGTTCCTTGATGAGCACATTGAACTGGTCTCTGCGTTTCTTCTCAGACTTGTTACGGGACACACTGTTTATTCACATTCAAATAAAAAATCATTGTTTTTATCTTTTTGTTTGTTTTTTTAAAGAAAGATATTTTTTTATAAAAATAAAAAAACATAAATCATGAACACATTTCTTCTCCTTGGACCTCTGATTCTAATATAGCTTTACAGTTTACATGTATCATTTGGTATTTTCATGTGAAAAATAACAGCTGACTATTTGTTATTTCAATAATCTAAAAACAAACCACATGGCCGTACCGTTTTGCTTTGTCCTTTTCATCCTCTTCCAATAACCCATCAAAAATAATGCTGTCATCTCTACACGGAAGACAAATCAAAAGCTTTTAGGCAGATTCAGGGTATCAGTTGCAACCTGGAAATCATGGATATCTATTCTGTGAGCATAGATTGCATTTTAAAAGGCATGGATTAGTCATGAAGCAGCAGCAGAGATTTATAGACGGTAATCTTTTCTCAGATTGACCTCAGGTCAGCTTTGTAGCACAAAGAGGTTTAAATCCCTTTTGTACCCATCTCTATCAAAGCCTATTATCATCTAAATAATGACAGCCATGTTGTGTCAAACTGTACCCATCAGTGACCTTTTCTTGTGCGGAAAAAATTTAACAATGAAAAATCTTTCTCTAACATTTGTATTTAATCATTCTTAAATTTTTCTCCTGAAAAAAAATTCTGACAGAAAAAAACGTATGCATTTAAGAAAGGGCCACTCAATAGTAAAATTGAATACGACCAAATAGTTAGAAAAATGGATAAAGATAAAAGCCGAATCTTAATTTACCGGTCAATGCTTGAGGTCATTTTCTTTTGTCCTGTTCAGGGCTGCAATGATGACGTGGGGTCTTTTAATCGTGAGGGAGACATTTGAACCTTTGGAGAAAAGAACACCTTAATAACCAAACACTTAGCATGGGGAAATAAAATCATAAGACTAGATCAGTCACAGTTAAACCGAATCTCAACTTTACCAACAGTATAGCCAGTCCTGAGAGAGGAGAGTGCTGCTGGATGAGTGTCGAGCCTGAGTGGACACTGTGCGGTTGTGGTGGGCTCCTACGAGTCTTGGAGGAGAGTAGAGGACAGTTTTGATAATGGACAAGCTGCAAGTTTCCAAAATGCCTTCGGTGAGCTGAATCTTTGGTCTGCTTTGGATGGAAGTGTTGCACATGGCAGTGACTGCTGAGTCTGAGAGAGAAAAAGAATAGGCAATGAGATCCAATAAAACAATCTTGTTTGTTCATTTATACAACGAAGATTGTGGCCAAATGTGATCCAACAGAAAACAGGATATATACATATAGCATCAACTGCTGGCTAAAACAGGAAAGACTATCTTAGTACAAGAGTGAAGAGACCAGCATCAATATCGCACACAAAGGAAAGTAGAAAGATCTTTGATATCTTAATTTAGAATAATAAATAAGGAAACAAAGATGCCAGAATCACTGAGGTATTCCCCCCTACGGTTTTCATGGCTATGTCTGCTGCAGATATCAGCAGAAAGGGAAAATGTCCATAGGGTCCGAAGCCTGAATATGTGACCCACTTCCTTCTTGAACTAATTACCATTTAAACCTGAGTGGGAAGTTTTCTCAACATGACTGCTTATTCGTTTCGGTGTGAAATTTACACAAAGGAATGTCATCAGTGTGCATTTGGCAAAAAGTGAAACACAACTGCCGTGTTTATTGCAGGACATGTCACACTACATTATCTTACAGGTTGTTGTTTTTTTTAAATAAAATCAAGCCAGAAACCAAATTAAAAAGAAAATACCTGACATGTTTTTAATGTGCTTCTTTTTAGTTGTATTATCATTGTGTATGACAGCTATTAAACGTAAGAATCAATAAAAACCATTTAGCATACAGAAGCACAGCAAACATCAAGATGAAAAGAAATGTTAAAAATAATACCTTTTTCTTGTACTCTGCTGATTAAGACTAGAAGATTAACTGTTTACTGACAAAAGAGCACATAAGTCTGCAAGAAACTTGTCAGCAGCACTTTTCCTTTTTTTTCTACAATCAAAATAGTCTTATCCTCAAATGTATCCAAATAAAACAACATTTTAAATCGTCCCGTTTGGACATAAAAGGAAGAAAAGAAAAAGATGACTAGGAGGGGAGTTGGTTTTATTTGGACCCAGTGCCTTTCAGCCATGCGGTGCCATTTTATTGCTAACCAGATGTGACTTTTAAAACAAATCCAGAACAGAGAATGAATGTCTTATCTCAGATCATTGTTTTGTCAACAGTACCGTCCCCATAGTACTGATAGTGACTATAAAAGGGATTGGAGAGTTGGAGTAAAAGGCTTGATCTGGTGACCTCAAATTTACTGAGAGCTCCACAGCACCTCGAAACCAGAACCGGGCCAACTGGAACACAAACGAAGACTGAGAACACAAGGCTGATGCCAGAAAAGTCAGCACAGACATAAAGTTTACGTGACAACAATTAGAGATGGTAAATGTTGAAGCAGTCGCTTAGGTGGCGTGCGAGTGTTGTGCAACTTGGAGAGTAGGGGTTGTATAACCGTGATGTCAGCTGTGCTTCACTGACCTGCTGGCCCAATGACCTACTTTCCTCCTCCTCCGATCCAACTTAATTACAACTCCACAGGAAACACCTTCCTGCTCTCAACAATAACACGGCGTGCTGTCAAGAGAAATGCCCTAAAAGCTGAACACAAAACAAAGCGAGGACCTGCACGGTGTGTGCCGAGAATCCAGCTGCCTGTGTTGTGCGTATTCCTTACGCACGTCCAAAAACCCCCTGAAATTTATTTGGTCTTATCAGGTAGAAGAATCAGGGGAAACAAAAGTCATGCTAATTTTTTTTGGTATTTACCATATCAGACCATACAACAAGCTTAACGCACCAAGACCATAAAGTGTATCACTCAGCCTGACGCACACAAGATTACAGATCTGTGACAATGGTATCATCCTTTTTCTCAAGCTCACACGGCATTGTTGTTACATATCTCTGATTGTTGTGTGTTTTCATGTGGGTGTGCGCACACTCAGATTTAGGGCAGCAGAGCACTGAGGATATGACTCACTCTGAAGTGGATCTATGGCGCCTCTCTCAACGCGTTCACCACACCCAGCGCTGGGATGCCAGCACAGCAACTGTGCCAATGGGCAACGCCATAGCAACGGGTCTCGCCACGCTGTGTAAAAATAGCCTGACCGAATTCCTCCGCAGATGATTCTATGTCAAACAGTGAACGTTTTAAAGCCTCGGAGATCGAGCCCTCGTCAGCTCGAAGATATAAAAACATCGTGACACGCTGACCTGTATTATGTGTGTGTCCTGTAAAACAAGAACAGATCGTTTGGTTCCTCTTACAAAACAATTTCCCTCTACAAATGTATCAAATAAATAAAGCTGACCATCAAGAAGCTGTCTCATATGTATTTATGAGCTTAGAAATTAAAAAAAGAAAGTAAATGAACATCCATCTTCTATACCGCTCATTCGGAGGTACACCCTAGACAGGTCGCTGGTCAATCACAGAGAAAATGAAAATAAATAAGTAAAATAAACAGAAGCTCAATGTTAATCCAAAACATTATTTATTTTTGTATACTGATACGCAAGTGTTGCTTTATGCTTGAATGCAAAAGTTTAATTATTTACCATAGAGGTCCATTTTTTTTAAAGAACTTTCATATAAAAGGAGTCATTTTGCTCATATTTTCTGTCTTTTCTTTCTACACTATAAACCTTCAAATCAAAAAGCACAGTCAGGTAACACCTAATCTTGCAAAACTCATCATCATAGCGAGATTTGTGCTTTTTTGACAACAGGGGATTTGTGAACTCTCGATGACCCCAGGGAGCACATAACAGACCTTAATTGACACGGAAAAAGTGAAAGCACACTTAGTGCTGGTAAATATCATCCATCTTACAACAATAAAACTTTAGCACTCAGATTAGGAGCAGATGATGAAGAGAGATTCTGCCCTTTGTGTAGGGAACTACTCAGGATAATTACATGCAGTCTAAACAACCAGCAGGCTTCCACAAAGGTTTCCCAAAACAATGATAATACTTAAAATTACATCCTGTGAGAGGCAGCTATAAGTTCTGTACATCCTAGTGGCATCTGCTCTGAAATTGCAGATGCGATTTCCATCAATGTTAAGCCTGGATGAAGCGGCTCATTACAGATCTAATAACGTAAAATTCATTTGGCATATGAGCAATTGTCAACATCACCCTGATCACACCCTACTGCTGAGTAGCTGCAAAGAAACTTACTCAACACTGGGCAGGCAACTGCCTTTCCACAACCTGCACAGGTCCGCAGGCCCAGTAGCACAAAAGCGGCCTTTGTTTTGCACATTCACTCCCAGCAAATAGAAATACTTGAGAGGCAAGCAGCAGAGGCTAGCAGGCGCCACCTCAGAGCTGCTGACTGCCGGTCCCAAAGGAGCGGGACCTCTGCCAGGGGCTCCGTCTTTATGCCAAGTGGGTCACTGGAGTCCAGAAGGATGACTAGCAGCATAGGGGAAGCAATTTAGAACGACTCCATCTATGTGCCTTTAAACACCAACGCATATGCCCACATGTCAATTCAAATAATGTAAATTCTAATAATGTGACGTTCAGACATTGAACGCAAAAACATTCAATAATCAATATGGCTGCATCTTTCCGAGAAGACAGGCTTATACCCATGTTACATTAATCAACTCAAGTTAGTGTACACTGGCACACACAAACCACTCCAAGCTAAAAATCACATCACATGAA